GTGTCTGTGTCTCTCTTTGTGTGTGCGCGTGCATGCAGGAAAAAACATCCCCTTAAGCCGGATTCATGGTTCAAGTGGTGAGTTTTATCTTCTACAATTATTTGCTGAAACAAACCGTAGGAACAGTGCTGTCATTTCCTATTCAGTTCTCAGAAAACAGGAAGAGAAAGGACTATTTTGCCTTGTTCATGCAAGCCCCTTTTGTGAACACTAAGTCAATGTTATGAATGAAGAAGATGCGAAGGAGGAAAATAAAACTGAATGTACAATCTCTGCACAGCAGTTTACTTTTTTCCCCACAATGAAACATGTCCACATTTCTTACTTGTTAGACTTACCTCATGGAAAGTGCTCTAGCTCTGCCTGTTGAAAATCATGATGATATTTAGCAAATGTTACTTTTAAAGTTCTTAAAACCAGAGCTTTAGGAAAAGTTACTTCTCGGACTATAACTCTCAGCCTTCTCTAGCTAGCATGGGGGAATCGGGTAGCTGTAATTCAGAAAATTCCAGTCTCTGTTAAAAACCTAGCATTATATTCTTCTTCTCTCTCCTTCCTTCTATTTGGCATTTTGTGTTTCGCATTGCATACCCCTTAGGGTTGTGTTTTCTTATATTCTGCACAATGATGGCATGATATAAAATAAGCAAATAAATGACGATGGCAGTGTTGTTGTTGATGAAATGCATTAATATTCCATAAAAGAACACTATGGTTGAAGACAGACAACTTTGGCGTATCTTAAAACAAAAATATCTGCCAGAAGAAAAAAAAATCTTTTTTGCCAGCTGAAAGAACAGTGCAACAGAAAAAGCTACAGGAACATCAACGTCATGGTAAATTTGGGCATTATCACTGAGATGGCTCCCTCTCGGCTTTGTCCCTTGTTCCCATCAATCATGGCTCCATCGCTAGAGGACAGTCCCTTAGGTGTAGTGGATCCGAGCCAGCTGGGACTTCAGATGCGACCGCTGATACTTGTTATTTCACTTGCACTTCACACCATTGGTTCCGAATTTGTTAGAATATGCTGCTTTTATATATTTACTGTCTCTGTCTCTATAAGATGAAACAATCATGTATTTCTGTTGTTTGTAGGATACTTTTGATGTGGTTTGGATCCCCTTTCGCTGTGGCAGAACCCAAAGCCTATGCGTCTCTCATTGGTTTAGGTACCTGGCCATTGAGCCAGAGGTTGGGAGTTCGATTCCCCACTGTCCCTCCTGCGAGTAGAGCCAGCTTGTGGGGTCTTGGGCAATCTCAGGATGCCCTCAGTCCCAGGGCGCCCCCAGAAGAAGGACATGGGAAAGCACTTCTGTGTATTCTCTACTTGGAAAACCCTGAAAAGGGTCACCACTAGACATGGGGACGAATATAAAAATGAATCAGGATATTCAACAAATATCCCTGATTTTTTCAGATATTCGCGGTTTGTATTCTTGGGGTCCAGAGACCCTGACAAATATGGAGGAACAAATATAACCCTTCTATATCTGTCCCTTCATTCCCTACAGTGGGGTCTCGACTTACGAACTTAATCCGTATTGGAAGGCAGGTCTCAGGACGAAAAGTTCTTAAGTCGAATCTGCATTTCCCATAGGAATGCATTGAAAACCATTTAATCCGTATCTGCTCTTTTCGTCCATTGAAACTAATGCGAAGCTGCTATTCCGCCTTCTGCCACTAGAGGCGGATATTTTTTTCTTTTTTCTTTTTAACCTAAGATGACTTAGCTTTTAAAAAAAGGAAAAAAAGAGTTCGTAACTCGAATCTAAGTTCGTAAGTCGAGTCCATATATTCCTAGGAGAGCGGTTCGTAAGTCGAAACGTTCTTATGTCGAGCCGTTCGTAAGTCGAGACCCCCACTGTATCTGATTATGCCCCCCCCCGCGGATCAGCTGTTCCTCAGGAGCATAAGCAGAGAAGGATTTTTCCTTTGGGCGGCTTACTAAAGCCTGCTTGAAGAGAATCCCACCCCCGGGACTGGGGGATGGCTTGGTTCCCCTTTCCTCCTCTTCCTATGCAAAGGCTGTGGGGCTGCAGGATCGCTTTGATCTCTTTCCTCTTTTTTTTTTTATAAAGATAGCCCCAGGGGCTGTCTTTAAAAAAAGGTGACCCAACGAACTGACAAATTGATTCGTGGTTCGTCAGACTACTGGGGGGTGTCAATTTGTGGTTCATGGGTTGTCAAGCTTGACAACCCACGAACCAAGACAAAGCGCCATTTTGGTGCTTCATCCGCATCTCTAGTCACCACTATGAGTCATAATTGACTTGGAGGCATATGATGATGTTTATATGCATTTGGGGGAAAATTTGGATCTTCTAATGTTATAAATTTGACGCAATCAAAATTGGCTAATTTTTTGTTTGTTTGCTGACTTCTTGATTGTCGTACCCCTGTTTGATATTTATTATCATTATATTACAGCAGCTAATATCCTATGAACAGGGACGTGGTGGCGCTGTGGGCTAAACCGCAGAAGCCTGTGCTGCAGGGTCAGAAGACCAAGCAGTCGTAAGATCGAATCCACGCGACGGAGTGAGCGCCCGTTGCTTGTCCCAGCTTCCGCCAACCTAGCGGTTCGAAAGCATGCAAATGCGAGTAGATAAATAGGTACCATCTAGGTGGCAAGGTAAACAGCGTTCCGTGTCTAAATCACACTGGCCATGTGACCACGGAAAGACTGTCTTCGGACAAACGCTGGCTCTATGGCTTGAAGAGTGGGATGAGCGCCGCCCCCTAGAGTCGGACACGACTGGACAAAAATTGTCAAGGGGAACCTTTACCTTACCTTAATATCCTGTGGCCTAAGTGTAGAGTGGAAGGGAAACTTCCCCTCCACCATCTTGTTTGACGTATTTTGCACCAGTTACCAGATCAGTCATGAAACTGGCCACACAATGGGGAACCCACTAGGACAGGAAGGGGAGGATGCTTATGCAATTTTTCTTCCCTTTTTTTAGGGTTAAGCAACAGCCATTTTGCACACCATGTACACCACCCCAGGATCATTTTTGTGATGGAAGAGCTCTGCTGTAGATTTAAATAAATAAATAAATAAATAAATAAATAAATAAATAAATAAATAAATAAATAAATAAATAAGAACGAACGAACGAACGAACGAACGAACGAACGAACGAACGAACGAACGAACGAAAGAAAGAAAGAAAGAAAGAAAGAAAGAAAAGAAAGAAAGAAGAAAGAGGCCCCTCTATCCTCTCCAGAAGCAGCAGGCATCAGTAAAGAAACTGTACCTTTCAGCTAATTGGTACGACGATACGACTACCCTGTTCTTATTTACAAAACTACAGATTTATGTCAAGCAAAGCCAATTATACTTAATGTTTAAACTATTGCAGGTGCGGAATGATTTTGTTGCTAGGCACTGGGAATGAAAAATGCTCTTTTAATGCATCTCGTTGCAATGAAGACCATGTGCTCCATCATCAGTGCAAACTCAACAGATGGAGAGCTTAATCCCTGCCACTGATCTCATTCTCTCTCTCTCTCTCTCTCCCCACTCCCTTCGTTGCCCGCATTCTACCTGAGACAACGTCCCACATACTATGTCTTGCTTACAATGCCTGGGAAACACGTTGCCCGCATTTTACCTGAGACAACGTCCCACATGCTATGTCTTGCTTACAATGCCTGGGAAACAGTTCAGTTTTTAATAGCCATATCTTATGTCTTTCATCAGGCATGTTAACGCATTCCAGGCAGCTTCGGCCATTCGCTGTGACATAAACGGAGGTTTCCTATGCTCGCTCCTGGGCAGAATGCAAAGGTTCCACATCTAGTTAGTAACATGTTTGCAACAGCTTCTGATGGTAGATAATAGCTCTATGCTGCAGTTCTCCAGGGAATTCTGGAAACTATACCCTGTGACAGGAACTAGAGAAACAAACATGAAGGAGTGTCTGCAGTACTCTAGCCCCAAACTAAAATTTCCAGGATCTTTTCTGATGAATCTGAAAAAACAAGTTTCTAGCCCATGAAAGCTTTGGTCATAATAAATTTATAAGATGGCAGCATCAAATTATCCCTCTAGAAATGGATATGTATTTGTAGCTTCTGGCAAGTGAAAATCGGACTCCCACAAACAAACCAGGGAAACACATTTTGATTACCGTAAAATGCTCTGTGTAGAGCTGCTTTTGAAGATGGTTCGGAAACTTCCGTGAGGTGAAACTGCTGCAGCCAGGTGGCTGACTTGGGGCCATTTCGACAGACGGGTCTGTTTCCAGTCCCAATTCAAAGTACCAGTTGTGATGATGCTATAAAGCTCGGGTCAACGTTATCTGAACAACCGTAACTCCCCCGTATGAGCCTTCTCAGGTCCTGAGATCACCGAGGAAGGCCTTCTCTGAGTCCCTCTGCCTTCCAAAGCCCGTTTGGGGGGAACGAAAGTGGTGAATCTTCTCCATGCCTGCTTCCCACATTGTCGAATGTCCTCCTCTGGAGGCCAAGTTGTCTCTCCAACCGCCCCCCGCACCACACTTGTATCATCTATGGACATTTCTTTTTAAGCAGGTTTTTAATAACCAAATTCAGCATCTCAGACTCTCCCCGAGATGGTGGTTATAATTTTTCAAGTGTACTTTAAAGGTTGTTTTAACTGTTTGCATTATCAATGTCTTATAGTATCCTATCTTTATCCCCAACTCACCCTAATTCTATATTTATTGTCCTTTAAGTTTTCTCTCTAAGCATTGTGAGCTCCTGCGTCCCTTTATGGGAGAAAGGCAACACAGAACTAAAATAAAATAAAATAAAATAGAGGACAAGGTTTTGCTACCTTTAACAACTATGTAGAAGAAGAGGTTTCAGAAGCTGTAGCTTGAATTAAAAGTGTCACCTTGTGAATTTGTTATAGCCTCTCACTTCTCTAATGTTCCTTGCTGTTATTCATCCTCTGTTTCCCCAGAGGCACCAAGCACCCCACAAATCCTGGGTCTGGAGATTTTTACCACACAAGAGATGGTTGTGTTGTCAGAGACTTTATTGAATCCAAGAAGCCATCTTTAGAGTGAACTCATACATTCATATACACCGTGAAGTTATAAATACTCTTCTTCCCCAATTAAAAGGCTCTGTCTTTTATGTGGGTCTCACCAACAGCCAAAGAAATGAGACATTTGGAACAGTGACCGTTCAGGGTCTAAGTCTCCAAAATCATGCAGAGTTTTAAAATATATACAAAGATGTGAAAAAGATAAACAACAATCCATTATTGTTAAGTCAGTTCATAAATACAGAAAGGAACACATCATTAAAATCTGTCAGACAATACTCTGATGACTGACTGCAACGAGTGTATAGCCAGACATTTTCAGAGCAACGTTTCACAGGAGAGTCTCCACAGAGGACAAAGGAGAGGGACAATCCAGCGTGCTGCCATAAAATTTGAGCGATTTCTCAGGCTGCAAAAGCTGTCCTCCAAGAAAACTCTGTCTGAATCCATCATCAAAGTCTTGCTGCATATTACTGTATCTGCAAAACAAAATATATTATAGTATTCCTTTGCAGTACAGTACAAATTAATATTATGGAGTATCGACCATGTTTAATGTTAATCTAGTTAATTTTTTTTTAAATGAGAAAGGCAAGGATATGTTGGTTGCCTTAAATGAACAACTGCGATGGCCCATCAAAATTGGGTGTCCTCAGGTCCAGATTCCTCATGTTGGGATACAAACCTAGATGAGATGCTTGGTCATAGGTGGTTGACAGAGCTGGATGGGGGTTTCTTACCCTAAAATCTCATGGGAGTAACTCCCATGCCCTAGTTATAATCTCTTAGCTGCCTTCAGTTCACACATAGAACCTGATAAAGTGCTTCTTCTCCAGTGGCAAGGTTTTCTCAGAACTTTGCGCTTGAGTAATCAGAGCTGCACATTAATCTGTGTTTACCTCCTGATGGCCAGTCATAAAACAAGGAAATCTAATGTGCAAGGTGCAGAAGTGAGACAAACTTGTGCTAAGGCAAACAGACATCTTTTACCACGTACAGGAGGTCTGCTTCTAAACATGAGCTGTGTATTTTGTATTATTTGACTGTTTCTAGGAGGTGTCCAGGTAGGAAAAGAAGCTGCCAGCAATAAATGGTCATGCCAACATGCCCAACACTGCTCAGCTTCCAAAAAGAACTTCCCCACCTTTCCATGTTAGGGGTTTATACCAAGACCACCACTTTGTGTGGGAAACTCAAGCTGCTGCCTGGGGACACCCACTCAGAAGCCCAAGTAGGGTCATAGTACCTCCCCATGCCATTGGATCCAGCAGTTCTTGATGACATTCCCTTTTTAATGCACAGCTTATTTACCTGAAAAAGGCTTCTCCCAATGCAGGTAGAACAACACGCTGAATATCCAAGAAATTACCTGTGAGAAATGGTCCAGAAGCCAAGAGTATTTATCATCATTAGCGAGGCCAAGAAAAAGTAAAATCTCTCCAATTTGCCTTCATTTAGAATATTTGGAAACCAGTCACCTGTGTAGTGAAATATATATATTTACATGCTATGAGAAATTCTGAGAAATCAGTAAACCAATGCATAGCTTTCTTGTATGGATGTCCATAGGGCATGGGGTGGACGACAAGGAGATACTTCCCCTTCAAATCCTAAATTCATTTATTGTTTAAATGTACATAGACAGAGACAAGGTGTTATAGCAGAGGACACTAAGCATGTGAATTTTGATAACATAACATTATGGAACTTTACACACATACACACATGCATACCCCAGGAAAATTCCTGCAGCTACTTTTGGGAGTCGGCCCTTTGACCCTTCTCATGTGCTCCATGAACAGAGATGTACAACTGGGGCTTCTAAAGACTCCTACAATCACATTACAATGACCACCAAGTATTAACAATCTACCAGGACACTCTGTAGAAGATTTGAAAGTCACTATTTTAGAACAGAATAGTTACAAATCAAGAATATAGAGGGAAACAACTGACATAAAATGTATACACATGACGGACACCCATATACGTTAAATGGATTGAATATAAGCCTAGGTTTCTTAAGTTATTACCAAATGTAATACTTATGCTGTTATCTACTGCTACTGTTATTTTCTTCACAACTTCCACCTCCATCTCTCATCACAAGGTTCTAAGGTAAAAACTGTCAATATTCCCTACATTAACACATGTAGTTCCTCTGCTATCTTTTTTTTACTTTTATATATTCTTCCCCCACACTTGAGTTTTTAACAGTCGTCACCCCCTCTCTTCTCCCCTCTCCTTTTTACTCATGCCTGATATCTGTTTTCTGTCTCCTGTAGGAATGTTTACAATAGAACCTAACACCAAACAGAGGCCATCATTCACAATCAAGCAGCCTTTCATTTAAATATCCCCAGGGGTGTCTAGGGCTCAAGGAGAGAGCCAACTGTATCTGACCGAGCCAGAAGGATTACATGCAGCATTCCATGCTACAGCTCCTCCCATCAGGAGACGACAGAGTTTAGGAATGGAAACTTTTCTTTTTGACACTCTTGTCTCTCTTTGTTTTCTCTCTCTCATCACTGAGAAGGCTGAGAGGGAAGAAACAACACAAATGCAGGAGAGCTGATATCTTTATTAGACCACTATAAAAACTATATGTAGGTATCCTTCAGTCTCAAGAGACTATGGTAACGTGCTCTGAATGGAGGACTTGGAACAGTGTCTAGCATGGCTGAGAAGGCCAATTCGAGAGTGACCATCCCTTCCATACTGAAGACAAATACAATCTGTTCCCTGTCCAGCTCCCAGGCTGGTTTCACGACTGCTTCTTTGCCTCAGACAAGGGTCTCTTCAAATTGGGAGAGACCATGATGCGCTCAGATGCCAAAGTTTCCCATCTGTTGAGGTCCATTCCCAAGGCCTTCCGATCCCGCTTGCAGATATGGTTTCCCCCTGGGGTGCTTTCCCTGCACTAATTCTCCATACAGGAGGTCTTTTGGAATCCAGCCATCAGCCATTCTCACGACATGCCCAAGCCAATGTAGATGTCACTGTTTCAGTAATGTATACATGCTAAAAATTCCAGCTCGTTCTAGGACTACTCTATTTGGAACTTTGTCCTGCCAGGTGATACCAAAAATCCATCGCAGAAAATGCATATGGAATGTGTTCAGTTTCCTCTCCTGCTGTGCACAAAGGGTCCAGGACTAACTGCAGTGCAGGAGTGTGCTCAGGACACAGGCTCTATAGACCTGGATCTTGGTATATGTCATCAGCTTCTTATTAAGCCATACTTTCTTTGTGAGTCTAGAGAACATGGTAGCTCCTTTGCCATTGTGTTTAACCAGCTTGACATCTATGGAGAGAGTGTCAGAGACCATTGAGCCAAGGTACGTACATGAAGTCATGAACAACTTCCAATTCTTGTGTACAGATGGTAATAGAGGGCTTAATTAATACTTCTTAAAATATAGCTCTCAAACAATATGCAAGCTTTCATGGTTCCAGTCTACTTCCTCAGGCTGTGCACTCATAATGCAGAGAAACTATTATAAATGAGAGTCCAAAAATTCACAGCAGAAGTCTGCAAGGTATACTTCATAAGACAAGATCAAACTTTGACTGATTTTTGGGGTAGATTTTAACTGTGTTCTGTTTCAATGGATTAGATCCTGTTTGCAGTGTAACCCAAGAAGGAAAACTGAACTTTTGTTTTGATTGATTTGTTTATTTTGGGTTCAATATTCAAAGAGAAAGAGTCTGTGTTGCACAGGATCAGCCCTGTGAAAGAAAATTTGTAAATGCTACCAGAGTTTTCTTTGTAATGATTTTCAACAATTTGTTTTCTGTGATGGGCCAGTTGGTGCTTCTGGGAAACCTAAATACAAGATGGGAAGGTGATGACCTTTCCAGTCGCATCAGCAGCTAATATTTGTAAGCCCACTATTTTCCATGGACTATCTTGTTCAATAGCTGTCAAAGGACATTCCAGATATCATTCAATGGACCAGTTCTCCATCCAAAGTAGATGTCATCAGCTGCAGCATAGGCTGTCATTAAATAGCCAAGAGGCCACAGAATAAATGGCTCTGATGCTTTACTGACACCAAAAAGCAAAGCGTGCTGCTTATATGTGTCCCATGGTGCTTAAAGCACTCTAGATGGTTTACAATTTAATTACACAGGCCACACACTGCCCCCTCCCCAGCAAGCTCAATTTACCAACTTTTGAAGGATGGAAGGCTGAGTGAACCATGAGTCAGCTACCTGGAATTGAACCTGAGTTGTGGGCAGAGTTTTGGCTGCAGTACTGCACCACAATGTTCCACTGGAAGGGAAGCCAAAGTGAAAAGCTTATGGGCCTAAGTAATTCTGGTTTTTATTCCTTTGGCCTCCCAGGCAATGATATTACAACACAATTCCTTAACAGTTCACATACCATTGCACTGAGGAATATCATCTTATGTCAGTCCAGTGGGGTTCCGTACTACTGAATTTATATTTTTGCTAAGGGGCTTGATTGTAAGCTGAGGAAGAAGGAAATGTTGTCCTATCTCCCTTCTTGCCACCAGGTGGGAGGCGTCATGCCCCCATTTCTATGAAGGACCAGTTTCTTCTGTGCTACCATCACCATATAACAGGCAAAAGCCAATACACAGCTCATGCTGAATGAAAGGCCACAGAGGAAGTACAGGCCAAATGAAATGGGCGGAGGCCAGTCTCCTTCGCTCTCACCCGTTAGCCAAGACCCTTCTATGCATATTTGCATTGCAACTTTTAGAGAGAGAGAGAGACATTTCCATAACAAGTGGCATAGGGGGATAGGTTTTGTCATGTGTCTCATTAAAATGTCAAGGGAGGTATAAAGAGCCTTAAGAAATCAGTTTCCTTGGCATGTACTGAAAATATCATTGTCACCCGTCATCTGTTTGCACTCATCAAAATTTCCAAGAAGTCTCATTTTATCATATTCACACCATCCTTCATAAATACATTCTTTTTTAAAGTAACACCAATTCAGGCTTTGGGTGTCTTTCTTATTTACTTTGCCAGCAAAATGCAACTCTAGAAAGACAAGATGGCACCGGATGCAAATAAAATCACTAGTATTCTAGTGGAGACGTTTTCAAACTCTTGGACCATGGTGGATCTGGGAACATGGATTCCACTTGCCAGTCATGTCTCTGATGCAGTGGATGGACTCGGAGGGAGTGATGCATAATGGCTGAAAACCTCTTGCACAAGTTGCGCCTGTGGAAGAGTGATGATATCACAATTGTGGGACATTTTGGGTAATTAAAGACTTCTCCCCAACTCCCATGAGTTGTCTCATTTGCAAGTAATCTGTTTCCTTGTGTAGAAGTCATGAGAACTGTGAGATTGAGGGAGGAAGTACTTAATTACTGAAAATATCCCCATGTGAGTAATGTCATGCAGTGGCAATGATTTTCAATAATTAAAGACCTTCCCGTCCAGTGGCTCTCACAGGTTCCACACAATGAAGCAGATTACTCACAAGTTGGACAAGCTGCAGGAGAGAAGGAGGAAGTCTTTAATAAACTTCTTTTTGCCTATAATTTTACAGCCTTGCTAAAAAATTTCTTTTGTCCATAATGTAATAACCCTTCTACAGGTCTAACTTATGAAAGAGATTTTTGGTTGCTAAGATACGCAGAGCACATTGGTTGAAATCCTGTTGCTTAGTGTAGTAAGTCACAATTAGAGTAGACTCATTGAATCAGTGAGCATCTGATGATTCAACTCATCTGTGTCATTTTAACTCAGTTACAATTAGGGTTAATTTGTAATGACACACCATTTTTGACACATGCCCTATTCATATTTTACTTATCGTGTATTTTTTTTTCATATACAGAGAGGAGCACCTAACTGTTTGGCCATTGGTTGCCTTATGTAGAATGGAAGCTAGCAATAGGGGAATGATTCGTGGTTTTAACCTGAAATTTAAAGAAGCTATCCTAGGTTCTGAACCTCTTTTGGGGAGAGAAGAAAAGACATTCTGGTTGGCATGGAAAGTTTTCAAAAAAAAATTCAGAGTTCTTGCTCTTGAAGAGAGCCTCTGTGGAAGTACTGTATGGCCCTTACCTGTTCAGACACATCACTCTCCACACAAGAAAATGATGGAGAGAATCGAGTGCAGGGCTCCTCTCTTTACATGTTTAGTAATAGGGTAAGTTATGCCTTGAATAGGCAAGATGGGTTCACATCAGGAATGAAGCCAGAATTATTTCAATCATGCCTCCAAACCCATCAATTTCATGACACTATGAAAATCAGCATAGAACAGCAGCTTAGAAAAATCCTAACATAATGCAGTTATCATGCATTCACTTATAATACAATCCTCAGGTGATATTTGTGATGAAACTGTTGGAGCAGTAAGACATTGGAAGCAATGAGTGGTCCAACACTGGAGGCATTCAAGAGAAACTTAGACAACCACCTACGTAGCAGCCTGTCCACTTACGCATCCCAGTGCTGCCAGCATCCTGCTCTTCCCGCCAATCAT